CTGTTGGCATCTCTGCCTCAGATACGCTATTTGTTTTCCCCAAGTGCACTTGGAATCGAACCAGACACCTAAGTACTTAAACGACATGCTGTGAGTGATTGTTCTACCCATAAGTTGAAGCTGAAACTGTGCTGGATAAAAACTTCCTAGAAAAAACAACCATCTCTGTTTTCTCCGGAGAGAATTCGATACCCAGATTCATTGCCCAAGTAGACAAATTATCCAAGGTATCTTGCAATGGTCCTTGCAGGGCCGGTGCTGCTGGTCCAACCATGGAAACCACGCCGTCATCTGCAAGCGGCCTTAGCGTGCAATTTTCGGACAGACATTCATCAATGTCTTTGACATAGAAATTGTACAGGAGGGGACTTAAACATGAGCCTTGTGGAAGACCCATGTAACTGATTCGTGCAATTTCCGAGTTGCCATGAGAGAAGCTCATTCGTTTCTCGGACAACATATTAAACAGGAAATTGTTGATAATCGGAAAAAGCCCACTTGCATGGAGTTTGTCCGAAAGGATGTCGATGCAAACATAATCAAACGCCCCTTTAATGTCCAAGAAAATTGAACCCATCTACTGTTTTTCAGCATAGGCTAATTGGATTTCAGTTGAAAGCAACGCAAGACAGTAGTTCGTCCCTTTGCCCCTACGGAATCCAAATTGCGTATCTGAGAGTAAGCCATTCGCCTCGACCCACTTGTCCAGATGAAGAAGAATCATTTTTTCTAACAGCTTCCGAATACACGACAGCATCGGTACGAATTATGATACGACGCGAGTTTACCGGGCTTCTGGATGGCGATAACTCTCACTTGTCTTCAATCATACGGAACAACGTTGAGCTCCAGGAATCGATTGAACAAGTTCAACAATCGCCTCTTTGTGACGTCTGGGAGGTTCTTGAGCAGGTTGAACATGATTCGATCCATTCCTGGAGCCGAGTTATTGCATAGAAGAAGAGCAATTGAGAATTCTACCATTGAAAACGGGGTATCCATGTCATCCTTTTTCAGCGGCGGATCGCGAGTGTTGCATCGAACCGGAACCGAATCGGGACAAACCTTACGCGCGAAGTCGAAAATCCACTTGTTAGAGTACTCCTTGTTCTCGTTGACCGACGATGCCGCGTTACGCATTCTCCTGCCGACATTCCAGAGCGCTTGCATGGAAGTGTCTCGCGATAGCCTTTCGACGAGCCGACACCAGTAATCGCGTTTTTTGGCCCTGACCAAGCTCTTAAACTTTTCCTCTAGCTCCGTATACCGCTCAAAGTATTCGCGGGAACCGTATTTACGAAACTGTTTAAACGCGGTAGACTTCTCGTTATTCACGTCGGTGCATTCCTGGTCCCACCACACAGGACGTTTGCGAATGGTAGTGCCAGGAACAGGCTTCGTTTGTGCTTGAAGCGCGCAATCCACTATGAGCCGTGATAGGAAGGAGTACTCATCCAACGGAAAGAAAACGTCGACCGATTCTGAACCGTCACGGACCGCGTTCGCGTATTCTTCCCAATTGATGTTTCTCGTGAGATCGTAGGCGATGTTGATTGGACACTGTGAGGAGGAACCGTTGGAAATCGAAATTTTGATTGGCAAATGATCACTACCATAGGGGTCTTGGATTACCTCCCACATGCAATCCAATGATAGTGAGTTCGAACAGAGTGACAAGTCAAGTCTGCTCTCTCTTGCTGTAGGTTTGGCTATTCGAGTTACCGGTGTTTAGAATGGTCATATTGAAATCGTCGCATAGGTCATAGATGATGGTTGAGCGGTTGTCATCGTACAGCTCTCTCCAGCCTGTACCGTGGGAATTAAAATCCCCTAAGATCAACCGCGGCTCAAGTAGCACTGAGCACATGTCAGATAGCGCTCGCCGAGAAACAGCCGTTAGGGTGGAACGTTGTCTCTGCTTGTCTTGACGCATCGTCTACAAGGAAAGATTCATCGGAGCTCTTACTGTCAAACTCCAGAGATGCTTTCTGAATATGGTGAAATCTCGCAATACGAGAAAAGGGCCTATCATTGTTGATCGACTCTCTTTATCGATTTTCTCTTTCACCAAGAACCCAACTGCAAATGAATTTCCCATTTGAAATCTTCCCCATTTTCGTTACATGCCTCATTTTCGATTGCTTATTGTGTCCCCAGTAGAGTAAAGAAAGACGTAGTCCTACGTCAAGATTAATTGCTTTATATTTAGGTGTTGTTTATTATTATTATTAGTCTTGATTGTGCGTTACTCGATTGAGCAGATTTTATGAGTTTAACGTGGAATGATTTTTTGGCGTTGTGAGTGTGATTGCATGAAATTGCAGGAGAATCTCAAGCGTGAGATTTGCTTTGCAGATTCGCTCGTGACCAAGCTTGATGGAGCCTCACTAGCGAGTTGAATGCCTAGTGCCAAATCATTCCACTGAGCTTCAGAGCTTGTGAGCGAAGGGGGATAAAAAACTACAAGGGACAACCTTAAGGGGTTGTACGCAATGGTGACGTAGGACTACGTGGTCTTATATAATAAATCGTATTTATTAACTGCAGCAAGAGTTTGTGTTTTGTGTAGGAATAGGAATTTGAGCGGGGTTCTCTCGGTTTATACTCTTTAGTATGACGCGCTTGACATAGTTGGCCTACAGCAACTCACGAAGAGCTACTGATTCCCATCAATTGCGGTGCGACTTCTTCCTCCTTCTATGGATGCTCATGTGGGCTGCAGCTTGCTGCTTGCAGGCAGCCTTTCGTTGTGTATTGGAGAACACCACCACTCACCACGCGGTGATTCAATAAACACCGTTTGGTGAGACCGGATGGGATTCAACTTTGAAATCTGTTTTAGGGAAATCAATTTTCGCAGGCAAGAGTGATAATTTTAATTATTATAGTAACAGTTGCACATTCGGGCGATTTTTAATAGTGACATTTTGAAAAATGATACAGTCTCAAACTTAACAGATGCATAGAAATATATCTGATCGATTGGTGATAAAATTATTGAAATTGGTCCAGGGGCAGCTGAGTTATTAACGATCAAAATCTTTCATAATGTTGTTACATGTTCCATTTTCGGTTTTCACAAAGTGTACCCCCATATAGAAATCACAGACGAAGTCCTACGTCAAAATAGCGCCGCCGGTGGTGTAGTGATAAGCGTGATTACCTCTCACCCCAGTAGGCCCGGGTTCAATCTCAGTCGGCGCCGGTTCTGAGGCATAACATCTCTGATCACGCCCTCTTCGGAAGGGAAGTAAAGGCGTTGGTCCCCGGTTCATTAGTTGATGGGTCGATATGTAGGGTCCAGATGTGAAAGCTGCCTCTCTGACGTCGGTAGCATTGGTACTCAGTACGGAAAACAAGATCGACGAAAACAAACCAAGAAAAAAAAGTTGGAAGGGTTGTATACTAGATACGACCGCAGGGTTGGCGTTGAATAACGTCTGTTATGTGTTGTACTTAATTGTGTATATTATATTTTAAGAATATTCCTTAATAACTTTTTTGCGAAAGTTTGGTGGTACTGAAATGGGCCGTTTTGTTGGGCTGATGTTGTTGACAATGATGGAACGGGCGACCTTGTTGGACGCTTATATAGTAGAACAGAAAATATCTGAGGTGTCAGATACTCGCATACGTACGTTAAACTCTTTCTTGATAATGTTGTGGCCCTGAAAAGGGCCATTTTTCCAACGCGCTCGGCGTAGTTGCCCTTGCGGAGCAGACGGTGAATACGACCGACTGAGAACTGCAGCAGCTGGGCATTCCATGACGGCGGCCCAGTATACCGGAGCACTGGCACCAACGCACTCGGCGTAGTTGCCCTTTCGCCCCCAGGTTCTGCTGCCGCTGCTCTGCTTCCACTGCTCTGGTACTGCTGCTCTGCTGCTCTGCTGCTGGGTCGACGATCGGATAGACAATGATGGAACGGGTGACCTTGTTGGACGCTTATATAGTAGAACAGAAAATATCCGAGGTGTCAGATACTCGCATCTGATGACTCGGTTGGAGAAAGTATAAGAATATAAAAAAATCAATCGATTTTCACCATCTTTAGACAATGGTTTACTTTTAACCATTTTTCAATAGTTTACAGAATGAAATCAATAGTTTTGAAACATTGAGCAAATTGCTAGAAATATTTCCAATCGATTGATGCCATTATCTCGTAAATCTATCGAGAGACGGTTGAGTTATTATCGTTCAAAATATTTTAATTTTTCGTAACGCATCCAAAATGACTGGTTTCAATTTTGTACCCACGTATGTTGCTGAAAGACGTTATCCAACGTCAAAAATAAGAGGGATAAAATGATAGTGAGGTTTGCTGCCATTCATGTTCATGTTTTCAATCACACGCTCTTACTCTCACTCTGGGTGAACTCTGAGCTTCTTGCGTCGAACAAAAAAGTCATCCGGAGTCTCGAAAAGCACACCTCTTGTCAAACCATCCTCTCGCTGAAGTTCACTCTCCCTCTCTCTCTCGAGGAGTTTTTGTTTACTTCTTCTATATTCCTGTGGCTACTCGCTCGAGGTGACAAGAGTGTTTTTAAACCTTCAGTGAGGTTGAGGAGTTTCAGCAAGCCTGCTCGTGACTTTATTCTCTCAAGAGGGTGCAATTAATGAGATTTGGGAATGATTTTTCGAGCACTTTACACGATAAAGCACTTGCTATGCCGTTCTTTTTTATAGGTATGCTGTTAATTACATTGATCCAGAATGATAAAATTAAAATTCCAAAACCCTAGTAATAATAAAAATAAGAAAAAATAAATAAATAAACTTTATCGCCGCAATCATCCGCCATGTCCAACAAAAGCAATGAGTCAATCATCCAACTCCTAGCAGGAAAAAGCACATCCAAATCACTTTCCTCCGGCCAATTAGACCCAAATGTCAGTCAACAACTTTCTTCCGAGAACGCAAAAAAAAAATCTCTACAAACAAATCTCAATACTTTTTCCCATTTCCTAATATTTGCCTTTTCTTGCGTCTTGTTCCAGATGACAACGTTTGAGTAAGGTAAGTTTTTCCCGCTCAACCCACATTGTTGTCGGTTGTTCTTGTTAAACGATTTCATGCCCTGCGCTTTTATCCATCGCATCCGTCCGCCTTCGGACGCCCAGGCATCCTGGCAAGGTACAAAACAACTTACTCACAGTGAGTTGCACATTCTTCCACACCAGCAACTGGAGTCCTTTGAGCTCCGGTGTTCCCGGTGCTCGGCGTTCGGCGTTGAAGGATGCCAATAACCCACACGTGGGTTCTTTTTCAATAAGACCGTCGACACAACGCTACAGCTGGCAAACACGGAACAAAACCGCTGAATCACTCTGGTCATTCTTCTTCTCGGAGATCAGGTAGCTCCCTATACAACGAAATGCTCGCCGCGTCCCACCGCCCCCAGTGTGATGCTTTATTACTAGGGACGGAAAAGCTTCGCTGCATTCGAGTGGAGTGCCTTGGGTGTGGAAGCAACGGACCACAGACAGGTATTGATGATTGGTTGACATTGTTGGGTTGTGTGTTTTCATGGGGAAAATTCGCCTCAACAATGGGACTGGAGGCTACTTTTTGTGTGCTCAAATCTCGATGACGGAACGAGAGGAAGGACCTTCGGATGTTTCCATCCCGCTGAAGACGTCAACGGTGACGATGGGACAAAAGGGATCATGACAAAAGGGGGGTATTTTTTCCGGTGAGGATGATGACCAATAAAATTTGCCATAAAAATCAAATTAAAATTGTTGTCAGTTGACGCTGAACAAACGGAGCGTGACTGATCGAATTCGGAACTGTGAAAGAAATATGTGTTTCTGGCCCGTTTACAATTTTACCTTGTTTGTCAAGCTATGGATTTTCTCAACTGGTGACCAACGTTGAACAATGTGTAGCCAATAAAATTGATTTTCGCTTTGCTTCATCTGTCCGGCATTACATTACGGACTTTGGGATGCTATGAAACTTAAAGCAAAACCTACGGAACACAACAAGAACCATCGTAGAGCGGCGCCGGTGGTGTAGTGGTAAACGCGATTGCCTCTCACCCCAAAGGGCCTGGGCCCACTGGGATTTTCTGAGAGAAGTAAAGCCGTTGGTCCCCAGTCCATGAGTTGATGGGTCGATAGGTAGGATCAAGGTGTGGGAGCTGCCTCCCTGGCGTCGACAGCATTGGTATTCAGTACGGAAAACAACAGATTTTTATATGAGATCGCCCTCAACTTAGTCAACTGAATTGTCCATTTGATGTAGGGGAATTTACGTATTCTCGTCAATCTAAGCAGCGTCCAAACTTCTATTAGCGATTTCTCAGCGTCACACACATACATGACAGGTTTGTTTGTTGACATTTATCTGCTGCTTGCTGTTCTACCAATTCCAATCGACAGAATTGATCAAAACGGGTTGAACATGTTTTTACAACGCTCCAAACTTCTCAGGTGAGAGTGACTATTGTCGGCAGTCTCTTTTTCTTCGGCACCCTTTCCATTTGAACTGCGTGTTAACCAGCTGTTCTATTATCGGCAACTCGAAATCAGCCGTATTTTGTAGTATGTATATTTCATTTAAAGAAAAATATGGTATAACAGGAATTCACAGTCGTAAAAATGTAATCAGATTTAAGCTGAAAAGGTAAGGAATCGGCTTAATACATTCAGCGAAGAGTTTTGATGGGAAAATACAGTGAAATAAACGTTTCAATTTCGGTTGCCGAAGCCATAATTTACCCTATTTAGTTTTTACAGAAGAAGGATAATTGGGACAAATGGGACATTACCTGAAGTTTGCATGAAATAGGTAATTTTAGCAATAAGTAGTACAGTTCAAGTAGGAGACATAAATTAACATAGCCATAATCTCACTTCGATCGACTGCATTGTGTTGGACTGTATCGAAAATTAGTTGTTGGAAGCACGCAAATCTTCGAGATGGCTCTCAGGACGACCCCGTTGCTTGTGCGCACTAATGTCGAGGATCTCTAGGAACAGTTTCATGAATTGACCACTTTTACGGTTGATCCGTATCTTCTGGTGGAACATCCCGTGGTCCCCAGGGTCCAAATTCCGGTCGTATCTTTTGTTTTCTTTGTTTTTTATACATACTCTTTATCCAATTACGGACACTGGAGATGGTGTGGCAATCCTCGGCTCGGAGGATTCCAGCTGATTTGGCCAATTCCCTCATTCCCACAACAGGAACACAGAAAAGCTCGACTGAAAATTCCACTTAACTCATAGCTCTGAAAAGGACTGTTCTGGCTTCGGCTTGTCCGACGACGGTTTATATTTTCAACGGCGCTATAATTCGGTGTTCTCTTTACTAAGTTTGTGGACTGTATCATCGCGATGCGAGACATAAATGATAACTTGGCCATTAGACATAACCTGTTTATGTTAATTTTGTGTTTGTTTATGATTGGAAATTGATTTTACATTTTTATTGATTAGACTACCCGGCTCTCCAGCTTCGTTTGATTTGTTGTTCTAATTTAATATTTTTGTTTTGGAACTTACTTCACAGCATACCCCTTAAGGGGTGTGTTTTGTTTGAATTGGAAAAAAAGTGATAACCTACCTAACTACGAGCATAACTTAACCTAACGTGCTAGATCACGTATGCTCTGGTGACTTGATCTCAGACAAGTGTAGCTGAACCTTCCAGGATGAACACTCTCCGTTCTTCTAATGTTTGAGTTCCAGCTAGGAGGTGGACCTCAGAATTTCTAGTCCGCGAGGGACTGTTTAGGACCATCCTAAAGATCTTGTTTTGGATCCTTTGGAGTTTAAGGTGATGGCATTTTGCGCAACTCTCCCACATTGGCATACCGTACTCGATTACAGGAAGGATGATTTGTTTGTAGACAGCAAGCTTATTTTTCAGGGACAGGGTTGATTTCCTTTTGATAAGTGGATACAACGATCTTATCAAGATGTTGCACTTGGTTTTCGTTTTGTCAACGTGCTCCCTGAAAAGAAGCTTGCTGTCTAGTGTTAGCCCAAGGTACACGACCTCTTTGCCGCGTTGATACGGATCTTCCAGCTGTTGACGTATTCAGACAGGTCGTCCAGGCCTCTCTGAAGTTTGGCAGTCAGAGCTCCGATGACCCTACCCTTGTAGACGATGGATGTGTCATCTGCAAACAGAGACAACGATCCACCACCAGGGAGAGCCGGCATATCGGAGGTGAGCAGGTTGAATAGGATGGGGCCAAGGATGCTTCCTTGTGGAACCCCGGCACCGATGTTGAAGCATCCGATGTGATGCCATTCAGAGAGACTCGGAACGTCCTGTCTGATAGATGTCTGATCTTCACTAGGAAGATTGGAAGACCGTACTGCTGCAATTTGAACACCAGGCCATCATGCCAGACATTATCGAACGCTTTTTCAACATCCAACAACGCCATGGCAGATGTTTTCGAAACAGACTTGTTCCGTCTGAGAATGTTTGTTACTCGAGTCAGCTGGTGGACGGTCGAACGACCTTTTCCGAAAACCAAACTGTTCCTCGAGTAACAAGTTGTTTTCATCGGCAGATGTTAGGAGCCGGTGGTAGACTGCTCTTTCGAACAGTTTTGATAACCCTGAGAGAAGGCTGATTGGTCGATAACTTGAAGGAGAGGACGGATCCTTCCCAGGTTTCCGGATGGGTATGACTTTAGCTGACTTTCAACACGTGGCAAAGTAGCCAAGTCTGAGGCACAGATTAAAAATCAGTGCCAGATGGTTGTAGAGTCTCTTACTCAAGTGTTTGAGTTCCAGATTAAGGATGTTGTCGAAATCTGGGGCTTTCATGTTTTTAGATGATTTGATATAGGCTAACAGTTCGTCAGCCGTAATCTCGGATTCCTCTGGAAAAATGTTAGGAACTTGACAAAAATTGGTTGCATTTTCAGCAACCTCAGATTCATGAGAACTGACGATGTTTTGTCCGAGATTATGGGAGCGGACGAAGTGTTGACCTATCGCGGCAGTCTTCTCTTCAGGAGTTATCAGATGAACCACTGGGTCGCCGGGACGATCCAGTGGGGTCAGTGGGGGAATGGGCCTAAGCTTGTTTTTAAGAATTTTTGTAAGTTTTCAGAAGGGCTTAGCACAATCTGGGAGAGATCGTTATTTCTGAGATCCACCATCCTGGCCTGAATGATCTTTGTTAGTCGATCACAATTGGTTTTCAAATTAGGCAGGCCAGTACGCTGGTACTGCCTACGAATGGTGTAACGGAGTCTAATGAGATCTTTGGTAGGGCTTTCAAGGTTCAGAGTGTTACTCACCTGTCTGGATACTGGCACGTGTTGTTCCCTGGCCCGTGAGATCGCCTCCTCGATGGTTGTAGACACCGGTCAACATCTTCCGACGTCCCCGGTTGGAGATCGTAGTCGATGGTTGTGTCGACGCAGTGTTGATATTGCGCCGGAAAGCTTCGAATCGGTTTACCGAGGATCCAACTTCAGCCACCACCAGGTAGTGGTCCGAGCGCAGCTCCTGGAATGCCACAGGTTGCGAGACGTTGTGTCCCATGTTGCTTACGAAGATGTCGATGGTCGCATGGACCCCAGACCGACTCAACTGCGTGGGAAAGTCCGGGGCCAAGATGGTATAGTGGCCCTCTTGCAGGTCTTTATTGAGGATGATGCCGTTTATATTGCTCCGACCGTTGCCCCAAGCTTGATGTTTTGCGTTCAGATCGCCAGCGATGATAAAGTTCCCGCTCCTCCAGGTGAGTTTGATGATGTCTTTGCGGAGGACCACGGACGACCCGTCCCTGATGTTAGTTTGCTTGGGGCAGTAGGCCGCGATGATGGTGATTGGGCCATGTGATGTGCTCACCTCCACTCCGAAGGCTTCAATTGTTTTCAGCTGGAAGTTTGGTAGCAGCCGGCAACTGATGCTACGTCTTGCAACGATGGCCACTCCTCCACCTCCAGAGCAGGTGCGATCAAGTCTGACGAGCCGGAAGTCGGGAAGGAATACGTTCAATGTCGACCTCCTTGGTGTTGAGGAAATCGAGTTGCTCTCTATGCTTGTTCGTCAGTGAGCAAGCGTTCCAATTTGCAATTTTTATAGCTTCACGGTCCATACTTGGTGACGAGTGACAAGGCAGCATGAAGCTGTTCAGATCGAGTCTTGCAGGTGCGCAGAATGACGATCACCTCTGCAACCAGCGTTACTAGTTCCTCTGATGTTAACGGATATTCGTCAACTGAGTCACCTGAGGCAACACGGGCATACAATAGTCCAGGCGCCGAGGCAGAAGCTTGATTTGGCAGAGCTGCAGCAGTAGTGAGGCGATGCTGAGCTGAGGGCGCGGCTTTTTGACTGTTGTTGAGAGGTAGTGGTGGAAGATTTGGGACCAGACGACGAGGATGGATTGCCGGGTATTGTTTGGCCGTGATGGCTGGTGGTACACGTTTATTTCGATGCCGGCCTGGCTGGTTGTTAGTAGCCACCTTCTTCCTCATGGTGATGAATTCCGTTCGCTTGGGACAGTCCCGAGTAGTGGCACGGTGAGTTCCGCCGCAATTCACGCACTTCGGGTCGGTGTCATCAGCTGGAGCACAGGTCGCCGTCAAGTGGGCCATAGCACACTTGTCGCAGCGTGGTTTCATATGACAGTTCTTCGGGCCATGGCCGAAGGAGAGGCAACTTGTGCATTGGGTCACATCACGGTGTTGCGGCTTGTAGTATTCCCAGTCGATAATGACCTGAAACAGCGCAGCAAGGGTGGTGGAGTCCTTCGTGAGGTGGACCAGAAACAGTTGGTCATGATAGTTTGTATTGAGCATAGGCCGTCGATTCATTGGGTGGACTGCCTCTGGTTTCAATCCGAGCCTCACCAGTTCTTCTTTTACGGTAGCCGCTTCGTACGACGGCAGACCTTGTAAAACAACCTTTAATGGTTTCATCGAAGGCCGTAAGTGTAAAACTCCACTGTGCTATTCTTCAGCAGGTCACCGACCGACTTGTACTGCTGTAGGCTGGAGCACATGATCTTTGTTCCAACGCTACAGATTTTGAATCGTGGGAACAATTTGCGTTTTGCCAGCTCACCCCTAAGCTGGGCGACGTCCTTCATCGGGGTAAACAGCGGGTTAATCCGCTCCTTTTTCCTTTTTCTTTCTCTGGTCCATTCGTCCATATTCCGGTCACAGCTTCGAATCAATTCTGACAAGACGTATATGAGAGGTTTTGAGAAAACGCGGAGCTTTAGAATCAGTTTCGTGAATTGACCACTTTTACAGATGTTCCGGATCTTCCAGAGGCCTAGTCTCCAGTGTCCATATTCGGATCATTCTGATAAGACTTAATGGGTGGTTTCGATAAAACTACGGAGCTCCAGGATCAGTTTCATGAATGGACTACTTTAACGGATGTTTTGGATCTTTCGGAGGTCAATTACGTGGTCCCCTCGGACCATTTTCCGGTCACATCTTCAAATTCATTCTGATAAGACGCCTATAAGTGGTTTCGAAAAAAATCGCAGAGCTCTAGGACCAGTTTCCTGAATTGACCACTTTTACAGATGTTCCGGATCTTCCAGAGGTCTAGTCTCCAGTGTACATATTTGGAAAGGTGCACAACTATCTGCTTAGCAACTTCTACAACGACTTCAGGAAGTTATCTCTTGAAATTGCCGTCCAATCAGTGTTTGGTTCCAATTAGCTCAAATCCCATATCCCGTGTATTTGTTAATTCTGGATCAACCCTATTAAAGGTTGAACACGAGCATATTAAAAGCGCTGCCATTAAGACATTTTTTGAGACAATTTTTCAAAATTTCACTAAATCCAGCTAAGAGTGTATAGAATCACAATAGACATTGGTTGTCATGATAAGTTCATTTGTTTACATCATGGCTTCACCGGAGCAGCAAAAATCCCGGTCTATCCACTCCTCGCAGTTTTCGATCAAATTCCTGGGCAGGAAGAGAAAGTGGATTGCCTATTCTGGCCAGCCTTGGCAAGCTGCCACTACTCAATTTCCACCAACAGTGCACTGCAGTGGTACAGTGAAAATGGCGTTGTTTTAGTACGAACAAAAACACCGCTATAGCTTAATCACTCGAGCTTTATTAATTGAGTCACAACGATACAAAGTCTCAAACCACACTGAGCTATGACCAAGAGAGGGAAAGGAAGGTTGGGAACATTCACAAACTACGAACCAAGTATCACTCACAAAGTATGTAATAATATTACAACATCTTCCCTGTTTTATAATAAAAAGTTAATGAAGGTCATAGTCTTTGAATTTAGTAGGCAAACGTATTTCTCTATTCGGTCTTTGATTTTTTTCATCAATCCTGATGCTTGACATTCTCGTCTAGGTGTTGTAATCCGTATCGGAGTCTTCACGGTATCCATTCCGACTGAGGATTCATCCGATTTTGATGGAGATTGAATCGTAACACTTTTGTCAGGTACCAACAACGAAGGGTTCTCCGTAACACTTATTGCTGGGACATCCTCAGAATTGCCTGATTCATTTAGAGCAGGCGAAGGGGGAATAACAGGCGCAACAGGTTCTTTACGCGGCTTCAAGTTAACCAAATCACGTCGATGAAGCGCTCCATCTACGTTCACCATGTACGAACGCTCATTCATCTTATTAGCAACCGTACCAGGAGTCCACTGTTTCGTTGATTCTGGATGCAACTGCACGTACACTGGTGATCCTGTTTCAAGCATTGGTAGGTTTCTTGTCGTTTTGTCATAGTGATACTTCGTCTTTCGTCGGTTTTCCTCGATACTCTTGGGTACACCTTGAACTGGTTTCGACATCAAATTTTCCACACACGTTGGAAGTCCACATCGCGTATTCCGTGAAAATAGACGAGCAGCTGGGCTGGATCCAATTTTATTTGGTATATTCCGCCAGTGCAAAAGAGCATACCAAAAATCAACACCAGATTCTTCTGACTTCTTCAACAGTCGCTTTGCAATTTTTACAGCTGCCTCCGACTTCCCGTTGGCCTGCTGGTGGTGAGGAGCCGATGTCGAATGCTGAAACTCCCATTCTTCCGCGAACTTTCTCCATTCCTTGTTCATAAAATTGGTTCCGTTGTCCGTAATAACCAACTGGGGTTTGCCGTGACGAGAGAAATTCTTCCTGCAGATTGAAATGGTGCTTCTTGGAGTCAGATCCTTCAGCATGTCAACCTCAAAAAAATCAGAGTAGTGGTCGACAGTAACGAGGAATTTTCTCCTTGATATTCCGCGAAGAATACATCCATGGACACGAGTTGGAATGGGTATACAGGAATTGCATGACTTTGCATAGGTGGAGTTGGCTGGGATGAACAGTATTTTGCGCAAATTCCACAATTAGTGACAGCTTCTTTAATCTGGGTGCTCATGCCAGGCCAGAACACATTAGCCCGAGCCAGCTTCAACGTTCCTTCAACTCCGTTGTGGCTAACATGTACTTTGTCGGTCATTTTACGTCGTAGCAGGTATGGATACGGTCATTTCTGAATACAAGCCCATCCAGGAAGCTGAGCTCATTTCGATGTTTGTAGAAAATTTTCACTCCATCCGGCACTTTATCTATTGACACAGGCCAGCCTTCACGGATATAGCTGATGATCTGTTGCATTGAAGGATCTTTTTCCGTCTTAGCATAACTTCCGTCAAACGCTCATCGGTGATATTGAGGAAGTTGCTTGGGTTTATTTCCTCCAACTATCTGAACACGTGATAGATGTTCCGCTTGTTGAATTGATCCTCAGGTTGTCCTGCATCCAATGGAGCCCGGGAAATGGCGTCGGCTACAACATTTTCCTTGCCTTTGACAAACTGTATCTCCAAGTTATACCGTTGCAGACTCAACAGCATATGCTGCAGTCGTTTCGGCGCAGACAACAGAGGCTTCCTGAACACGTTCACCAACGGCTTGTGATCAGTTCTCACAATCGTCCTCGGATTACCCACGATTAGCTGATCAAATCGTACACATGAAAATAGAATGGCTAGCAACTCCTTTTCTATTTGTGCATAATTCTTCTCTGTAGCCTCTCACGGCGAGATGCGTAGCCGATCACTCCATTAGACTGGAACACAGCAGTGCCTAAACCAAAGGAGCTTGCATCACATTCGATTCTCAAGGGTTGGTTGACGTCATAGTACTGCAAAGATCGAGTGTCAGCAACCAAAGACTTGACACGGTTGAACTCCTCTTCTTCTTTCTCTTCCCAGATCCAAGGTTCCTTGACTGCAATCAACCGTCTCAAAACCGCAATATTGGAGCTTAAGTTTGGAATAAAGCGACTCAGGTAGTTAACCATCCCTATGAACCGTTGTAGTTGTTTCCGATCTTCCGGCTTAGGATAGTTCTTGATGGTTTCGATCTTGCTTTCGTCGGGCTGCAATCCTCGGGTCGTCAGTACATGCCCATAAAACTTTACCGAAGTCAAGCACAACTTCAGCTTAGTTTTATTCAACTTCACATTATTTTCTTCAAGGCGAGTTAGCAGTTTTGCAAGACATCTATTGTGGTTCAAAAGAGCATTTTGCAGGGTATCTCCAACTCCGTAGATCAACACATCATCCGCAATGCATTCAACTCCTTCCAGGTCCTGAATCACCTCTTGAAGCTTCATCTGGAAGATTTCCGGTGCAGGAGCAATGCCGAAGGGCAAACGAATCCAGCGATATCTTCCGAAGGGAGTCCAAAACGTTGTTAGTCGACTGCTTGGTTGATCCAGAACCACATGCCAAAAGCCCTTTTTGGCATCAACTGTAGAGAACACTTTGGCTTTTCCCAGCTCTGGTAATATCTCATCGATCGTTGTAAACTGCAGATTTGGCCGTTTCAGCGCCTTGTTTAGGGGTATTGGATCCAAACAGATCCTGATTGAGTCTGAATCCTTACCACCTCGCTTCACGAGAACTATATTGCTAACCCATTCCGTATGCTGCTGCTCTTTCACAATTAGTCCGTCCTTCTCCAACTTCTTCAACTCCTTCTTCAGCTTGTCTCGCATCGCAATTGGTACACGACGTGGCTGCTGAATTGATGGAGATACTTTAGGATCCAGTTCCAGCGAGACCACACCAGGAAATCTACCGTAGCCCTCAAATATACCGCTATGTTGATTGATAATTTGCTGAGCCTTGATACGGTAAATATTTAGCAGCTGTTCTTCCGATGGTGATGAAGCAATCGAAACCGAGTTGCAAAACTTGATGAAGCCAAGAGTTTTGCAAACTTTTGCAGATAGGTGCGGTTTATGGCTAACCTCCACGACTTGTAATACGAGTGTGTACTTACGGTCTGTTCTCTTACATGGCAACCTTATCTCACCAAGGACAGGTATGGTGCCGCCTCCGAAACTCTGCAAACGATATTTCGAAGGAAGCAGCTCCAAACGATCACAACCGGTTGCTTGCTTAATCCTGTTATAACCAACCAGACTAGTGTTAGCGCCCGTGTCCAGCTCACATTGCACCATCTGCCATTTTCCACCAACAAATAGCTCCAAATCAGCCATCACGTTTCCTCCCGACTCCGAAAAATCATACACCTTGCCGATAACAGCCTCATCACTACTGCTTTCCAATTCTTCATTATCACTGGTCGCACTGCCGCTTTCTTCAATGTCGCTATAGTCTTCTTGCACTTTCTTCACTCTTCTTCGGCTTCTACCTTCGCTTCTGCCTTTTTGCTTGCGATCCGATTTGCAAACTTTTCCGAAATGGTTTTTACCACCACACACGTTACACTTCTTGCCCAATGCTGGGCATACTCCTTTCGCGAATTCGTGCCGATCTCCACAGTACTTGCACTTCATATTCTTCTGCTTCCGTACGAGATTCACGTCAACACTACTGGCACCCATCGCACCAGCATGTTTTTCAGCGATTTCTTCCGCTCGGCACAAGTCAATAACTTTCACTTCCGTTAGGTTTTGCATCGTCAACATTTTAGCACGCAGTTTGGGCCACTTGTTAGAGGTAACAGTCTTATAGGTAATCAAGTCATCCTCCAGCACACCGAATTTGCACAACTTGGCCAAGCTTTTCAATCGCGCCGCATAGTCATCAATCATTTCCACAGGTTGTTGCACGAGCGAGAAAAATTCGAACCAGTCTACGATTTTGTTTCTTTCGCGCACTACTTTCACTTTTATCGCCTCCAGAGCTGCTTCTGGGGTACGCCGTTGTTCTTCCGACAACCCAAAATTGAAGAATTTTTTAAGCGCAGCACTACCGATCACTGACAACAAAATGCTGGTTTTCTGCTTGTTCTGCTCCTGTGGCCACTCATCCATTCCAATAGCACTCGCGTAGTTTTTCCAGTTAGTAGAAAAAAAAAAAAATCAAAATTCTCCTCCATGTCTTCACTTAGTTCGAGCGGTGGAGGGAGCGGGACAGACGATGCTGTCGAACTGGCAGCCATTTGCAACTGAGGCTGCCCTTGTACTTGTTGTGGTTACTGCACTTGCACATTCTGCAACGAGTTCACGATTTCGCGCAACACATTATTCTGCTGTTGCATGAAACGCGAAAACTGATCGTCATTCATTTTGCATCCAGTTTATCACAAATTTCGGGAAAACACACTACACTCAGCATGAAGCGAAAAAAATATGGCCGCCGAACAGGACCCGACACGCTTGCTCTCGAAAACCGCCGACGCAAGCAGCTGGCAATTATCACCGTGGCAAATGATTTTTTCACTCTCCGAATCTGTGCTTCTCCTCGCAATAGTCTCTTCCGCGATTTAATGACGCCGGAAACACTTTAGAAGCCTTTTACTTCTGACACCATGTTTTAGTACGAACAAAAACACCGGTTTAGCTTATTCACTCGAGCTTTATTAATTGAGTCCGTACGATACAAAGTCTCAAACCACACTGAGCTATGACCAAGAGAGGGAAAGGAAGGTTGGGAACATTCACAAACTACGAACCAAGTATCACTCACAAAGTACGTAATAATATTACAACAGGTGTCTCCTCAGATTTGATCTCTTTGGGATGCTCCGTAGTGCCTGCTTCATAATAGCCCAGTATTTTTCGAAGGGCCTTAGTTCTGGTGCGTTGGTGGGGTCATGTCCTTGGGTACGAACCCGTTAGCTTCGTACCGCTCCAGGACAACATATGAATAGTGGCACGAAGCTAGATCCGGCCAGAAGATCGTAGGGCCCTCTTGTTGCTTCAACAGAGGAAGCAGACGCTTCTGTAGACACTCCTTGAGGTAGATCTCCCCGTTTACAGTCCCGGTAGTCACGAATGGCGCACTCCGTTTGCCACATGAGCAGATCGCTTGCCAAATCATGTATTTCTTGACAAACTTTGAAAGTTTCTGCTTCCTTACTTCCTCCGGAACATCAAACTTGTGCTGGGTGGTGAAGAACAGGTGCCCCGGAAGCTGCCGGAAGTCCGCCTTGATTTAAGTTTCATCATCCATGATGAGACAATGAGGCTTCGTCAGCATCTGCCGTTTGCACTTTGTACGTATGCAGTCCCAACCGGTCCTTGGCTCTCTGAACACAAAGACTTGAACAGATTCAACTTTTTGGCCACATCCCTGACCGAAGCATTGAAATTCCGCTTTAAAGCTTTCACGACACGCTTGTGATCCTGATCACTAATAGAACATCCATTCTGACCGCATTTCTCCTTCCGTTCGATGCTCAGAGTTTCGTAGTAACGTTTTATCACACGACTCACCGTTGGCTGCACGATTCCGAGTTGTTTTCCGACGTCCCGATGAGAGAGTTGAGGATTTTCCAGGTGCTTGTGCAAAATCAATTCGCGACGTTACTTTTTGAAAAACTGACAGCGATAAAAATACAGTGTAAACAATACACGCTAAACTACTTCTACTCAAATTTTCAAGAGAAAATACCCAATGGGTAACCGTTTTTTCCGTGATGCAATTTATTGTGGGAACCCATTATAGGAATCCGGCATGAACGAATCCGTACTATAATAATGTTGACTGTATGATGTCATTATGTAATGTTTAAATGTGAAGTTACGTCAAATTGAATAACATTATGTAATCATGTAAGAAACTACGTTCGCAGCAGTTTTTTTAATTATTATCCACGAAAACATGGTAAACACGAAAACAGCCAGTGGGTGGCCAAAACCATCAGTTACCTTTCCACCCTTCCACTTGACGCTCCTGTTTCATCCAGTTTGGTGCACTGTATTTCGAGTAACCGATAAATTTAATGTAGCATGATGAACGCAACCTTTCAACGATAATAATGCAGTTGTGTGTTGATTCAGCCTTTCCGTTATTATTTTTGGAAACTCAATTTCCCAACGTAAAATAAACACCAGCATCGATCCCATGGTAATGGAAGCAACCAATTGACCGATAATCCCGTGACTTTCCGCTCCTGATGACCTTCGATTAAAAATGCTTTTGGCTTGATCGGCCAACCCACCATCCGACCAAAAAAGCGGCCAACGTCGCATGTACCTTTTGCAATGCATTAATGTAAATTATGATCAATTATTAAAGGTAAAACTCTGAGCTGGGTTGGGCACTTTTTTTTTGTTCTTCAACGACTATTTTCCGTATATCGCGTTCCCTCGGGTGGTTTTACTCCCACATTTACCATTACACGGTTAGCTGTGCATAATTTGCTGCCCCGCGATGGGAATTCAGGTCAGAAGAGGTGTAAAAAAACTTGGAATAGGGTGGTTCACTTTCGCCCGTTTGCCATTGTTTAAAATATAAACTGGAAAATTCTTGTATGGATTACAGCGAATCCCTTCAAACTTGATATAGCTGATATTGCGCATCCTAGAGGTGGAATAGAAAGGGCCAAAAACAAAGCAAACGTCCATCGTAACCAGATGAACGTTTCCATTATATTATGTAGCTTTGTAGCGCATGATTTTACTAATTTCGTTTGGCATCAAATTTGTGTGAGCATTCCCTTTAATATGTGTACAAATCCACGCAGTTGGGAAAATTTCCCAGGTTGCACAAAAGGTACACCGTAAGCAAAATGATTTTTTTTTCTAACCAAAGAATGGAAAAAAATACCACTCTTGCTATTCCACAGCTACCTGGAAGCTGCAGCCAAGCTGTAAGAATATTTACGTTTCCCAATTCCAGAACGATGCTGGGTGGTGGTGGCAAATTGAAATTTATGTTATTCTCCATTAGCCTGGAGAGAACGCGAGCAACTGAAAACTGTAAAGTTTTCCCTGTTCACTGCCGGTGCATCCTTTCGCTCGTTTTGTGTTTCTTCTTTTTTTCCGATGGGGAAAAACCAAGAAAACAGTCTCGTCGACCTCATAATGCATGCTTAACCCCCGGCGTAAAAGTCGTCTCGGTGGAGTTTTAGCCGTGCACTACGTCGAGGATTGTTCGTGAAACTATTTCCGCGTGGAACCTTGAAGGAGTGCTGCAACCGGGAGGGAAAAGTGGATAAACATTTTCCCATGCAAATTAAATGGATTATTACTGATTCGGGATGCATTTTTATGAAAAAGGTAAGACCCGGCGGCAATGTTGGTTAATGCCAAACTTTTCCACTAACGTTGGTTGCAGTTGCGTACGCAACCAGGGTGGAAAAATTAAAGTATTTTTGAATAAATCTTGCAGAGGAGTGAATTTTCGTTCGGATGAATTTAGCCGACAGAAACTGATCAAAAGAGGTGCCGCAAAAATGGTTCTGCACCATGATGCTTAATAATTACTGTTCATTAACATGCTCTGGAAATCCTTCGGAAAGCTTAACCAGTGCTGTTTTCATAAAATTTGAGCTTAGCAGTCGCAGTTTTGACGTAGACTACATCACGGGATGGAACAGGGGGTAAATTGATAATCTAAACTTGCGACCGTCACGAAAAGGTGCTAGGTTTTAAACGCTTATAACTATAATCCAAATACACCAATCGATAGAAAATAACTTTTCGAATCTGCAGAAATAAATACTTTTCCCATTTTCCATTCCAAATATTTGACAAATTTACAAATTAAAAGTGATAATTTTATCACTGTATTCATTAAAAAAAAAAGTTTTCCCTAGCCCAGTTGTAATAATCGAGTATCATTTGGTTGCGCATCATTCTGCTTGAACCTGTAAAGTTATAAAACAGCGCTGCTTTCACGCATCCGCTCACAAACATCTTACCGTTATCGTCAACAAATGTTTGAAGCTTGGCTACTTCCCGGCATGCTGGAAGCTAGCCAAAGTGATTCCAATTCACAAGCCTGGCAAAGATCCTACCAGTGCCAAAAGCTATCGCCCCATCAGCCTCTTGTCCTCCATCTCGGAGCTATTCGAAAGGTTGATACTCAGACGTCTGCTGGTGTTTTCATATGATAATAACATCTTTCTCAAAGAGCAATTCGGGTTTAGGAAAGGCCACTCTACCATCCACTAACTCGCACGGGTTACTAACATCATCAAGCGGAACAAGACAGTTTCCAATACATCTGCCATGGCATTGTTGGACGTCGAGAAGGCGTTCGACAATGTCTAACAGGATGGCGTAGTGTGCAAACTGCATCGATACAACTTTCCGATCTACCTCGTGAAGATCATCAAAACCTACTTGTCGGGCAGATCATTCCAGGTCTACTTGAACAATGTCCCATCTGAAACGTTCAACGTTGATGCAGGATTCCCTCAGGGTAGTTCAACATTTTCACGTCAGACGTTCTCCCTTGCCGGGAGGTGGTATCCTGTCTATGTTCGCAGATGACACCTCCATCATCTATAAGGGTCGAGTGATCCGTGCTCTGGCGAGTAAATTACAATCAAGCCTGGATGTTCTGTCCGACTGTTTCAAGAGCTGGAAGATTTGTATCAATGCAGCTAAAACACAAACCATTCTGTTACCACAAACGAATTCACCTCGGCTTGTTCCACCTGCTAACGTCAAGATCCATCTTGATAGCACTCCCATTGAATGGTCGAGTGAAGTAGTCTACCTTGGTCTCACCCTTGACAGCAAATTGCTATTCCGATCCCATGTGGACAAGACATCCATCAAGTGTAACAGGTCACTCTACCCTCTGATAAAGAGGAAGTCCACCCTGTCCCTCAAAAACAACCTTGCTGCCTACAAGC